TTCTTGTAAGTTTGAACATATCCATATGCAAAAGTTGTACAGGTCTATTTGAAACACGATTTTGAATTCAAAAGAACTTTTTAATTGTTTTCCCTTCAGACATACTTGAAAAAAAAATATGGGTTTTCTTTTTTTTAAGAAAGATTAACAATTCTATAACGAGATTTTTCTTTCAAGGTTTTGAAATATATTTTAACTTTAAATTCCCTAAACTTGTGTCATATTTAATAAAAGGCTGCAAAATTGATGAAGAGATTAAATGAGAGAGAAATTTGGAAAAGAACAACACCATGAATCGATCTATCTCTCTCCATTATATAACTGTAGTAATAGTTTATCTTTTTTTTTTCTCTAGCAAAGTTTGAAGTGAGTGAAAAAGATGTTATCCTTTGTTTGGCTCTCTTTCTCTCTCTGAGTTTTCTTCCTTAACCATGAAAAGCACCCTCGACCTTGCTGGCAAACTTTGTCTTCTTCATCTTTCTTCACATTCTCATTCACTTCTCTCACAGTGTCCCATTTTTCCTCTTTATCCTTCTTCTCTTCCATCTGCATCCACGTGCATTTGCATCTCACGTCATTTTCAATGTTTCTATCTTTATACCTTTCAATATTTCATCAATCATTTTTATCTGAGTAACGGTATCATGACACACTTTTACATTCATTTCACACAAAACACAAGAATAAAATGATCATAAAATTGTAAATTTTTATATTTTCTTTTAAAAAAAAATAAAAGGTAAGTAAGAGTAATACCAAATGAAAGTAAAAAATTTATGTACGGAAAAAATTCGTTTTTCTTTTTATTTTCAAATCTACAACCCACACCATTATATTTTTAATATATGTCAATATATTTTTACTATTATGGATGCATAAGAATGTCAATATAATATATTTCAAATTAGTGGAAAACTATAAAGGGAAAATGATAGGTAGAAGAGTTAGCAAAATTTCAAATTATTGTAATGTAATTTCGTGGTGATAATTTGTTTATGATGAAAAGTTGGAAAAGCTGTATAAAATGTTTTAGATGGCAGAAATGGTGAGCAGAAAAGTTATACAAAGTATGGCCAACGTACTTCAGAGAAGGACACTTTGGGAACCACCACATACATTATCCTTAATTAAGGTACATACTACCCTACCAATTTGGAACTTATCTCACAAAAGTACTCTCTACCTGAACTGTACATAAAATTAGTTTTTCTCTTTAATTTACATATTTACTTTATATTTTAATTAAAGTATACTCGTTTTTCTTCTTATTTTATTTCATTCAATATTTTTTTTTTAATTTTTCTTTAAATTCTCACATAGTTTAAGATTGAGATGTCAGTGTATATATATATATATATTATTCCTTAATTAATTAAAAGACTTTATAAAGATAAAGTTGGGACAAAATTGAATCAAACTCCAAATATATAATATCTCAAATGCTGTGATATTTCTATACATCCAAAAACAAGATATGGCATAATATTTCAGACTGAAAAATATTATCTATATATTTCCTTTAATTACATAAGAATGTCTTTTAAGTCATATTCGAACCACAATCAAGATAACATTTTAAATATAATAATCTTAAGAATGACTAACGATTTAAATAAATTTACACAAAAAGATTAGTTGTGTATGAGAAATTATTTTATGTATTTTTTTTT